TTATTTAAACTTACCACCTTTTTTCTTGGAAACAAATGACTAGGGAAAATAACTAGAAAATCTATTGAGACATATGCTTCAATATTATATATCTGTATAGATACAAAGAAGCGGGGTTGGAATCATTCTTCAATGAATACCTTTTCCAGTTACTGGAGTTTAAATTATTCTTAATCCACAGTAGGTAGCAGCAGAAATTGGGTTTAAAACTAACGATAGGACAGGAGATCAATGGACAGTATCACTGCTGACAGAGTAGGGATTGTGTTACATTTTCAGATACAGTAGGTAATTTTGTTCAAACCTATGATTAGTAAAACTCAGATCCACAAGCATGCTGGCAGATCCATGATTAGTAAAACTCAGATGATTAGTAAAACTCAGATCCGCAAGCATGCTGGAAAAAGCTGGATCTACTTCTTAGACAGGAGAAAGTATAGGGACCACAACCCACTGATCGAAACCCACCGGAGCCACAGCCCAGAGACACTGGATAAGTTGTCTGGAAGGGGCTGCAAAGTGAGGAGGACCTGGGGTGGTAACAGGATGTCTGCCAGGGGCTGGTCACCACACAAGGTGTCTGGCAGCTGGAGGGCTCACAGTAGGTCTCCTGGCAGCCACTGGAGGAGAGGACCCTAGATGGAGGTGCTGGGAGAGGCCAGGTTAGCACTGTAAACTGGCTTGTTGGGGTAGAAGGAGCCACTGGAGGAGGCTGTGTGGTCAGGCAGTACCCAAGGGGGTGGCAGAAATTTCCAGAGCATCAGTTGTAGGACACGTTGACAGGAGATGTGACTTATAAGGCCAGCATTCTGAGTTTGTCACTTCTTGAACTGGAGCATTTATATACCCTTATCTTTGGGTGCGTCATCCACATGGGACATAAAACAGGTTGCCTTCTGCTTGTAATTGAATCCAAAAGATCACCGTAGCTATACATATGTAGTTTTTGTAGTTTTACAACTGCACCATGTGGTCATATTTATGCTTCGGGATTCAGATAATAATGTTGAATCTTCAAAGCTATTAGTCATCTTCCTCAACCAAAGGTCACCCCAAAGATTACTCAGAGAACTGCGTTAGAGTTAGACAGTGTCTGGGTTGAGGGAAGCTGGCTTAATTAAAAATAATTGATACCCATTTCACAATCTGTCTCAAAAGAGTTGCCATCTGGAAAGCAAAGTTGCTACTGATCTATTCAGAGTCATTTCTTTTAAACAAAAATGCATCGATTGTTGCAGGAAGTAGCAAGTTCACTTAACAAATAATGCCATAATGTCACCAAAAAGTAACAATGACAATCTGCCAGATGTATTAGAATTTTTTTAAAAATTCAGAATGCAACTTGAATATGTTTTGTGTTTTATTAATGGAGAGCTCCCTTTATTTCCCATGTCCCTGCTTAAAATTATATCAGACTATTAACAGTCAATCTTAATGATGTGAGAGATTGCATTAGGATATGAGAGAAACTTCTTAGCTAAAATATAACTTTTGCATCAGACTTTAGACTTTTATATAGAAACACTTTATTTAGCGATACTTTATAAGGAAAGATGCAGCACTTTGAGATAGATGCCCTTGTTTAAAGAACAAACAAAAAGCTAGAGTTGACCTCAGCTTTTGCTTCTTTTGGGTGTACATGCCCCGAGTTCAAGTTAAAATTTGCTTCATGTATAGTTGGAATGTTAGAGGTTATTCATCTGACGTACTGAGAAAGCATTGAAAATAGGAACTAAATGTGTGGCAAATACGTCCAATATGTTGCTCTCTCCAGTGAAAGGCAGAGTTTAGCCCCAAAAGGATACCTCAGAATCTGGAAATTCTTGTTCTTAAGAAAGTTTATAAGGCAATCACCTAGAAGTATTGGACTAAAGGAGCTATCTTAAGGATTCTTCCTTTGCTTCAGAAAGTATCATGCATCACTTTGACGTAAATTGTTTTCAGGTGTTTCTGACAAGTATTACCAAATTCCTAAAATAATGGCCATATTTTTTTCTCCTTGTAAGAGAGGTATTCCACCTCTCTGTAGCAGGGTAATAAAGATTGATACCTTAAGGAGGCAGAGAGATGAGAAGTTTTATCTTGCTGTGACTTCTGTGCTGTTTGATTTGTTTGTTTCATAAAAAGTGTTTCCCTTCCACTTCTGAACAAATGTAGATGGGCATAATGAGTCCATTGTGTTGAGAAAAGAATGTTGGAAATTAGTTAATATCTGCTCTCATAGAATTTTCTTCAACTGAAGTAGCTTATGTAAGAGTGAATGCCACTGAAGCAAAAACGCAGGCAAATTCAATTTAGGTGAGTTAAATATTTATGTGGATGTTTTGGTGTTCAATATTTTATTGACAAATATAGCAGGAACATTTATAATCTATTAGAATGGTTTTTTGCTATTCATAATTAAGAAGTCTAAGAAATAAGAATGGCTTATTTTAGAGAGGACAAACTGTGTTACCTAATAAATGAAACATGATCCAAGACCAATTTGTCTATTCAAAATATTTCAGTCATAAAGTCTACAAGTTGAAAGCAATGTAGCAACAATCTGTCCTGGATCAGATTGGAATCCCATTTATAGCATCCCGATTAGGTATTTCCAGCGGCCTCAAATGGAAATTTTATTACTTACAAAATTATTTCCTTTTACAGCTTTAGATGAATCTTCTCTTGAAATATCTAATAATCTCATTTCTTCACACAATGAGTCCAAACTGATTTCCATGGGTAGCATAATAATTTTGAAGAAGATTATCTTAAGGGACTGATGATACCCATGGTTTTAAGCCATTTTCTCTACTCATACACTTACCTGTTTACAGTTAGCCGTGATGAACTTTATGGACGAGTCCAGAAATATTCTTACAATGCTTGTCCTGTAAGAAGAATATATCTGTCTCTTGATAGATGTAGCACCTCAGAGATCCAGAGGCATTCATTCTCTATCCACATTATCAATCATTTTGATAACTTCTCTGCAATATTTCAATTCACAAAGGTCATTTACAATCTGCATCCTTCAAATAGATGATTCTTCTGTGAAATCTACATGGGATAGACGCTTTCCAAATTTCTTGATTTTCTTTACCTTTTATAAAAACCTTTATGAGAGGAAACTAAATGAATAAAGACCTGTTTTTTTAATGTACAAAGCTTATCATTTTGCTCTCAATAATATAATAATGCAATTTCAGTAATAGTAATAATAACAAAAAATTATTTAAACTTTATGCAAATCAAGAGGTTTTTTTTTTTTTTGAAGGTTCCAGTGTATTTTTATTGATTAGCATTGTTGTTTGCTACCAGCCCAGACTGGGTAGGTTCACCATTGGTTCTGACAGTTTATTTTATTTTTTTTTTAAATAATAAATTTTATTTTTATATTCCCCCATACAACTGCACATGCCCCATTCTGACCCCAATCCCTCCCCTCCCGGCCCCCACCCCCCATAAAGTGTCTCTGGTTCATAGTTTTTTGTTGATTTTGATTTTCACTTTCTTATAGTTATTCATTTTCCTGATCCCTTATTTAAGTTTTCTAGATTCCTGTTATGAGTGAGACCATCCGGTATTTTTCTTTTTCTTTTTGGCTTATTTCGCTGAGCATGATCCCTTCCAGCGCCATCCATGTTGCTGCAAATTGCATGTGTTTATCTTTTTTGAATGCTGAGTAATATTCCATGGTGTATATGTACCACATCTTCTTGATCCAGTCATCTATTTTTGGGCATTTGGGCTGTTTCCAAAGCTTAGCTATTATAAATAGTGCTGCTATAAACATAGGGGTGCAGGTGTTCTTTGGAATGGATGTTTCTGTGTCCTTTGGGTAAATACCTAGGAGTGGAATTGCTGGATCATATGGAAGCTCTATGTTTAGTAGGTCCAGAAATCTCCACACAGCTCTCCATAGTGGTTGGACCAGTTTGCATTCCCACCAACAGTGCAGGAGAGTTCCTTTTTCTCCACAACCTCGCCAACATTTGTTGTTGCTAGTTTTTTTAATATGTGCCATTCTCACTGGTGTCAGATGGTATCTCATGGTAGTTTTGATTTGCATTTCCCTGATTACAAGTGATGTTGAACATTTTTTCATATGTCTGTTGGCCATTTGCATTTCCTCTTCAGAGAAGTTTCTTTTTAGCTCTTCTGCCCATTTTTTGACTGGGTTATTTTCTTTGTTGTTGTTGAGTCTCATCAGCTCTTTGCAGATTTTTGTGATCAGTCCTTTCAGATCAAGAGTTTTTGATAATAAAATTTATTAACAACTTCTATCAGAAAGCAAGTTGATTTCAGAGCAAGGATTCCTTTACCTAAGTAATTTTTTAATTCAGTCTTCAAAGAACTTTTACAAATATTTTATCATTCATTCTTAAATCAAAACTTCATGCATATAAGAATGGTTTGAGTACTTGTGTGCTAACAAAAATGAACTCCAAAAGGGCTAGATATTCATTCCTACCAGTCAAGGATTGTTTCTGGATTATTTTGTCTATGATTTCTGCAGGAATGGGGAGATGATGCAGATATTGCTTTGTGGTTTATTTTATTTTCTGTTCTCTATTGTCTTATTAAATTAGAACAAAAGAAAGGTCCCTTCACAATACAAAATATTTGGGGGGGGGGCACTAACCACAAAGAAATTCCTCTCTGTTACTAGTTCAATACTATGCCTTGAAGGATAGGATGAATAAAACACCAATATTATAGATACAATTATGGTGTAATGGCATTCATCTACCCAAGCTAGATGAATGAGAAATGACGTTTTTACTTCATGAACAATTGCTTTGAGAAACTAATGAGATTCTTTAATTCAAAAGTGTGTATGCATAAAAAATTCCTTTGAAGGTTAATGCATTTCATTTGGACTGGAGCCTAATGAAACACCCTTATTAAAATAAGCACATGCCGCTACACCCATTGTCAGGGTATATAAGGTCCGGTGTGGACCACGCTCACAAACACCTCTCTGCAGCTCCGCTGAAATCAGACCTCCCAGCAACATGTCTTATAACTACGGCTCTGGAAACTTCTCCTCCCGCTCTTTTGGAGGTTACCTGGGCTACCCAGGTTCCACCTACGAGTCTTTCTGCCCCAACAACATGGCCTACTCTCCCAGCAACTACCAGCCGGGGTCTCCATTCTATGGGGGCTGCCAGGAGACCTTCTGTGAAGCTGCCGGCTGCCAGACTCCCTGCACGGGGACCAGATCCTTCCCAGCATCCTGCTTACGCCCAAAGAATAACATCTTCTACAACCAGATGAATCACGCTGGATCTCAAGGGTGTGGAAATGCTGGCTTTGGGCCTTTTGGGTATGGATGCGCCGGCTTCCAAGCTCAGGCCGGTGGAGCCAGCCTCTGCCGTCCAAATTACCTTCCTTCCAGGAGCTGCCAGTCAACTTGTTATCAACCAGGGTTTGGCTCTCGCTTTTATGGATCAACTTACTGAAGAGCTACAATGATCTCAAGGCTTTATCTGCATTTTGTGAAACTTTAACACACAGTGTGTCGCTCTCTGTGATTACTGCTTCCAGCATGACCGGGACTAGACATCACAGTCCTCTTGAGAGTATATGAATCGCTGCCGACAAAGCATTCTTGGCCTGCAAGCTTTTCTGCATCTGACATGTGAGATACAACTTGAATTTCATCCTTATGCCAATGCTCATGATTGCTTCTGTTAATAGCTTCTTAAGATTCTTCACTTATTGTTCTCCTAGGAGCCTTTCACTTTAATGTATTTCAAATAGATATGGCATTTAAAATAAACTTATTTCTCTAGCAAGAATTCTGGCATTCTATTTTCTTTATTTTTTATGGTATATCTAATGAATACCACCAGTACCTTCAACTGTCTTCAATAAGTAGACATGTTCTTTGTTTTTTTTTTTTTTTATTTCATATATTTAATAATTCGCTAGATAGGAAACAGGACATTTAGAAAATTGGAATTACAGTATGTGCCATGCCTTGAGAGATTTATATTCATCCCCACAAAGCTGCACTTGTTCATCTCACTGCTTCAGAATACCTTGATTTTATTTAGGCATTCATTGAAAATTAGTTTTTGAGTTTTAATTATATGCCAGCACATGCTGAACAAAGTCATACATTCTTTGCTCTTAAAGAGTTCACACATGTACAATTCTAACTCACCATCAGGTAGCAGGTGTGATAATGAGGGCTAAAACTTAAGCTTCAATGAGGTCAGAGTGAACAGGGGTTTCAAGAGAAATATGAGAAATATGAAATATGACACAAAGTTGTTGTTGAAACTAGAAAACGAAAATTATGTCTTCATATAAAAAAAATCAGTCTTGCTGACCTAATATATTAGTTGTAATCCTTTGAGAAAGAGTCATAACATAAGATTTGACATAAAAGAGATTTGGGAGGGAAAATACCTGTCAGGGAAAATGAAGAAGTAGCTGGAAAATTCTGGAGGAGCCATCACATCGCAGAGTTCTGAATTCAATGAAAGAAGAGAAAAGAGAAGAAAGTTGTGTTAGAAAAATGTTCTTCGGGACATCACCCATTAAAACAGTACTGAGCAAGGCCGCTGGCAAGGTCAGTCACTGACCAAGGACACTCACCAATGACCTTGCCATAATGCAGTGGGAGAATCACAGGCTGGCGGCTGGAGCTGTCAGTCCCTGACACTCCCTGCATTTGGGGGTAGGAGAGCTACACTTTCCTAGTTTCCATGCTTGCAATATTTACTGATTTAAATAAGTCAAAATGGTGATAAACAGATGAAATGATAAAGGGAAACATAATTTTCTATGGATTAAGCTAATTATGCTTGATTTTACTTAATATGATTAAAAAATAGTTATCAGACTCTATATATTTTTTTGAATTAAAGTTTAATCCTTCAACTGAATATGACAGAGAATTGAGAATTATTGGAAGGTCATCTTTGATTGTAAACCTAGCTGATGTGCTAAACAAACTGGAACACAGTAGACTATGATTAAGAAATCACTTATCTTTCTTCTGCTATTAAACTACATACTTGACCTACAGGCACTACTTCCTTGAATCCCTGAACAATAGGTTGAATAGACTGATGATTACATTTAGATCTTAGGGAATATTTTCATTTCACATTAGTTGTTATGCTCAATCCAGCATAAATTGAAAGCCAGCCTCACAGCCACATCGAAACTTCTCCCTTTCGTTCACTTTAGCCTTGTCATATGATGCCACAGGCGACTGCTGTTTGGAGGAACATGATCATTTTATTTAAACTTGCTCTACTTTGTCCTTTGTCAGTGTGCTACCTCTGTCTTTTCCTGCCTGAGCTAGAGAGAAAGGATGGGAGGAAAAAAATTGACAACAGAGAAAATCTGTCTCAATATGAAGCTCTAGGCCACGTTGTGAATGTGTGTTCGTTGTTTGTTTCAGGAAACTTTTCCTGGGAAAAATGATATTTATTACAACAAATCATGTAGCTGTATCACACTTCAGGACACTTCTATAGATTATTAATTGACTGAAGACAATAGTCTATAGACTTAAACAGCTTCCTAATTAAGCAACAGATCGTTTATCAAGAAACTAAAGTCAGTACCCTCTCTTTGTTATATCCCCCAATTCTAACTATTATCTATACCCCCGTGTCAATCAGTTCTCTGCCTTGAAACCATCTGAGTCCAGTGCCTCCCATTTAACACCATTCTTGAGAGACACTGCTAAAATTCTGACACCGTGGTATTCATAACTGTGGGATGTTTGGATTCACTTTATGTTGCTACATTAATAGATTGTCTGATGATATTCTGAAGCATTCAAAAAGGACACATAGATTTTCCCATCTAACTAGCACTAGCTGTGGTTTTATGTTTTTGAATATCCTCAGTTCTTATAGCTGTCTGAATACTGGCGCTTTTTATAGTGGACACTTCAGTTTGCTTTCTAGAAACCACCTTGCCATCCAAGGCCACTCCCTGAAACTCTGCTTTAAGCTAATGCAACACCTTCCAGGACTTTTTCTTAGACCTCACATTCAGTTCCTGACCACTGCCAATGTGACAACTCACACAGCTTTTCTTCTGGATCCATTTGCCCTTGAGTTGGTCTCTTGACCTAGAGGAAACACACACATTTGTTACTCTATCCAGGGAAGCAGTTTGGTCCTAGACCAGGCTTTTCATCCTGCTAATACTGATTACATTTTCTAATATTTTAAGAGAAAAAGAAAGAATACTAATCTAAGTAGCTCCCAATTTCCAAGAAATACAGAAATACTCTCATAATCATTGGTCCTGTCCCCATAGCTGCATTAAGGCATAAAATTCCACAGATATTCCTATATTTTATTTACATGGCACACTTAGTGAATGAGTCCTTACTGTCATCATAAGACTGTCATCATTAGACTAACATTTTTTATTTTTCCATGTTTTTGCAAATGGCAACTTTTTAAATAGCTGAATATTATCCTATTGTGTATGTATAATACATGTGTTTATCCACTCATCTGTTGTGGGTCACTTAGATTGTTTTATATCATGGCTATTTTAAATAATGCTGTAATGAACATAGGGGTACACATATGTTTTCCACTTAATATTTTCATATTCTTCAGCTAAATACCCAGATGTATAATTGCTGAATCATATGCTATTTCTATTTTTAATCTACTCTATTCTTAATTCTCTTTTGTTGAGAAGACTCCATGCTATAAGAGCTGCACCATTTATATTTGTACCAGCAGAGACTGAGATTTCCTTTTTCTCCACATCTTTTTTTTAAAGATTTATTTATTTATGCATACAAGAACTGGGGTACAGGCCAGAGGTATGGGGGTGAAAGGATCCACCAGAGACAGGGTGGGGAGTAGAGTAGGCAGATTGACTGAAACACACTGCTGAGGGGAGCAGCGGGTGAGACAGGAGAGGTCTGCTGTGCCATGTGTGTTGCTCCCTGGCTGGCCAGGGATAGAACTTGCTCTGCAGAGGCTGAGGACAGCTTTGTAGACTGCTTCTTAACCCCTTGCACCACCAGGGAAGCCCCCTTTTTCTCCACATCTTCACCAATGCTTATTATTTTTGGTCCTTCTGATAAGTCATCTAAACTAGAACACTTATTTTACAACATATTCAAAAACAAAATCAAAACAAATTAAAGGCTTAAATAAAATACAAGAAACCACAAAATACATAGAAGAACACAAAGATAACAAGTCATTTGACATTGACCTTAGAGTCCTCTTTTATTCCAATGTCAAGGGCAACAGAAAAAAAAAAATAATGAAATGAGGCTACATCAAATTAAAAAGGATCTGCACAACAAAAGAAACCATCAACAAAATAAAAAGGCAACCTACTGAATGGGAAAAGATATTTGTAAATCATATATCCAATGAGACACTGATATCCAAATACATGAACAACTCATACAATTCAACAACAGAAACAAAACTATCTGATCCAAAAATGGTCAGAGGCTCTAAATTAATATTTCACCAAAGAAGATACCCAAATGGCCGACAGACACATGAACAGATCTCTTTTGTCACTTACTAAGGGAATGCAAATTGAAATCACAATGAGGTATCAGCTCACACAGAATGGTTATTACCAAAAACTATATAAGAAATGCATTGTTATTATTAATAGAGTTCATATTTGTGATATTCATCATATAGTTTTGCATGTGTAACAGAGTGATTGTAAATTAATAATGAGAAGTTACATTCATTATTAAATAGAACTATAAAATAAATAACAAACAGCAATGCATGCCTCAGTATCTCTGAAGTTTGAGAGAAGCAATGGACAAAGTAAATAAACCCTAATTCTTCTTAATAGAATTTGCATAAAATTGGTATATTTTATACTTTTTTAAGGAAACAGAGTGAATTTGCTATCATTTGGCTGGAGCATCTCAGCAGTGTGGTAATCTGAACTTGAGCAATTTAGAATTTATCATTTCAGACTCATTATTCCATTTCAATATGCAGCAAAAACATTCTGAGCATGACATATGAGAGAGAAAAAATATTCCATAGTCTTAATTTTCTTGCTGGTTCTTTTTGTGTTCTCTCTATAATTATGCAAAATCCAATTACCTCAGTCAATATCATAATAGTTAGAAATTTCTAATCTAGCATTTATGAGAATGTAGTAGTCAAATGGGTTCTGTGAGAGGAGATAATGTCTTACACAAGGAAACCTGCTCTATACTTTAGTTCCCTGTGTGCACACGCTTGTCTGTGTGCAGACAAGTCAAAATGGAAGTGGGACCTTCCTTTCACTATGCACAATTCCATTTCACCACACTCTATGTCACACCACTGTGCTTCCATGTGTGAGTCACTTGCACAAATAAATATCCTTGGGTCCTTCATCCTGTCTGCTGCTGCATCCATTTACAATATTTTCCATCAATTATTCTGCATTCTACCGGTCTGTACAAAATAAATTTACATCTTTGTGATTTGTT